CACCTTTTGACTTGATAGCTTAATATAAAATATAAAATTACCAAACAAGACTTTTCCCTCTGTATCTGCATTTGTTTCCAAAACCATTCTAAGTAAGCAAATCTATATACAATATAATATATTCCTAACATATATGTGTTTCTAACTTGTGTATTTCCTCTACCCTAGCCCCCAGATCCTATTACCTATTGACCACTGTGGATCTCTTTATTGTACCAGTGTACTTCAAACACTTCAGCCAGTCTTCTCCTAGTCTCGCCCAATGGTTCATAAATTCTAATTAGAGTCACTTGCACAGTCCATCTTAGGTTTATCAGCCAACATTGTTCTGGATAAAAATGAACAATACACAGTCCTTGCATCAGCTGCTAGAGGTATCTAACCCATGTTGCCATTGAGGACTTTTAACTTGCACCCAATGCCTCCATTGCTTAGCCTCGTTTCCCCCAAACTCTCTCTGATCTTGACATGCCTCCCTTTGGCACTCCCCCAGTAAAATAAAGGTTTTGTGTTCATTGAACAAGAAGTAGACCCGTGTAAAGGTGGCTCAGTGGCTAAAATATAATACTTGTGACTTTTGATTTGAGAATAATTGTTCTTTCTCTTCCATCTTAGAAGAATCTGTCTGCAATACTAGCTGTTTTGTCACTAACATTTATCTGAATGAAGAGCCTCAAGACAATGGAATAGCAAACCAGGAAACTCCAATGGAAGAGAGTGTATTTGTATCTTCAGCTACCTTCCCGACAGATGAACCAGCCATCAATAACGTTCCTTCTCAGGACCCTCTAGGTCAGTGAAATCATTTTCTGTGGGCTCATGAAGGCAACTAATAAAAATACCTGAGCAGTAACAGCTAACCAAAAAAATATACCTTTTAATCAGAAAGTAGGGAGTAGGTTCCTTCCCAAACTCCTTTTACTGTCTTCTTTGTTTTCTGCTAATGCAGTGTTTCTCAACCTTGACAATTTTAAGGTATGTGGACTTCAACTCCCAGAATTCCACAGCCAGCATTGCTGGCTGTGGAATTCTGGGAGTTGAAGTCCACATGCCTTAAAATTATCAAGGTTGAGAAACACTGTGCTAATGCCTATTCAGAATGCAAGACTTGGCAGGCAAAAGGATACCGAGTCTGCTTTCACTACACTGCGTATTCTCGTCTCTTGCAGAAACTGTCCCAATTACCATAGAGGTCTCTATCTACTACCATAATAAGCTGCAGGACAAAGCAGAAGTAGACAACTGCATGTTCACCTACAACCAGGAGAACTGCCACCTACCACACAATGCACAAGTCATAAAGTTTCCAAATCCAGAAGTGCTGACGGATCAGAAGCGAGTTCAACATACCTTGATTGCATTAAACACTGCAAGTTTATTATTATCTCAGAAAAACGGGAGGATCTGGGCCAAGCGACTTGGCACCTGTCAGGTCTTCCATGCATTCTCCAAGGAGCTGGACAATCCGTCTCAGGACCCTCCACATAAATTACTGCCAAGGAATGTTGAAACTGAAATCTTCAACTATGAGCAGTTCATTCAAGGTGAGGATCTAGAAATGAGGCAAAAAGTCTTATTTATTGAAAGGGCTGTGTGCAGTCTTAAGTGTTCAGATCAGGGGCTGTGTGACATCCGTGTTGAAATAATTAAAGAAAGGTAATTACAGGCAGTCCTCATCTTACAATCATTTGTTTAATGACTGTTTAAAGTTACAATGACACTGAAAAGATGTTCTTATAACTGGTCTGTGAATTTATGGCTGTTGCAGCTTCCCCACGATCACATGATCAAAATTTGAGCGCTTGGCAACTGATCTACTGTATATTTACAACAATTGCAGCATCCTGGGGCCACGTGATTGGCTACTGGTGACCTTCCCTGGGGGCTTCCAAGTCAAAGGGGGAAGCTAGATTTGCCTAGTGATTGCAACAAAAAAAGAATGCAAAATCAGGTGCGACTCACTTAACAATTACATTGCTTAGTGACAGAAATATCAGCCCCGTTTGTGCTTGTAAATCGAGGACTAATTGTAAAATCTTTCTCAGCCATCTTCTGTTTAATATTGTTACAGCTTTGCTATCACTGTTTTATGTCCTTAAAAATGGTTGTCTTATAAGACTTAATTTTGAGTTAATTGATACAGAACATCCCTGTCCCCGGCAATCTAAAAATTATAGGGTTATCAGTGCATGTAACATAGATGTGTGTGTGGACAAGAATATCAACCTTGCTGTCAAGCAAAATCAAGCTTTTAATAGTGAGTGCCACACAAAGTGCACTAATCAAACAGGTGGTAAGAAAATAGGTGAACTCGAGCACCACACAGGTTATGTAGAAAGTAAACACAGGGTGAGTCATAAAGGACTCAAATGTCTATACACCAATGCACAGAGTATGAACAATAAACAGGGTGAATTAGAAATTCAGGTAAATGAGGGCAGATATGATATTGTTGCCATTACAGAAACTTGGTGGGATGAAACCCACAAATGGAACACACAACTAGAGGGATTTAAATTATTCAAAAGAAAGAGACCAAATAAAAGAGGAGGTGGAATTGCTCTTTATATAAGAAATAACTACATCTCTACAGAAATAGAGCACAACAATGATGAAAACTGTCTTGAATGCATTTGGGTCAATATAAAGGGGGGGGGAAATGACATTGCCATAGGTGTATATTATAGGCCACCCAACCAAACAGAGGAAATAGATGAACCTTTTGCTAGACAGCTAACTAAGGTATGTAGGAAGCACATCACAATAGTAGTGGGGGACTTTAATTACCCTGATATCAACTGGGAGACAAACTCTGCACTAAGTGGAAGATCAAACAGATTCCTGACAAACCTAGCAGACAATTTTGTCTGCCAAAAAGTAGAGAAGGGAACTAGGACATTAGCCATATTGGATCTAATTCTCACTAACAGAGATGAAATGATAGAAGGTGTTGAAGCCACAGGAACCTTGGGGGGAAGTGATCATG